ATTTCCCAAATATTTGTTTTGTGAGTAAAGAAAAAAATTAGAATTCGTGTTTGATATCCTATTTAAATTATCTCTAAATGTCAAAATGTTTGGCATAGTTAGTCTCAGAAAAACAAAATATAGGATTGCAAAAGTTTTAAGATAAAAAATAGCAAGAAGAAATTGAAGTATAAAAACTAGATTTACTTTGTCAAATTGGTCTTCGACATTGGAATATAAAACTTTTGGTGAATTCAGTAATTTGTACTTGTTGTAGATATTTAGTCCTAATTATGTGAGTAGAGAAATGCTATTTGGAAGGTAATTAGCAAAAAAGAATTTTTTGCAACGATATTTATTGTTGCAAAAATTTTGTTGAGAAAACTGTTTATTAAAATTTTTATCGCTGCAGAAAATTCTGAATTAAATCAATACCTTTCTCAAGGATAATGATTCCTAACCCTCGATTAATCAATTATAATCTCTTCTTTAATTAATACTCCTAGGTTGCATTAAGTTCATTATGAATTTCATAATTATGATTAATCCTAATATAGAAAACTTACGTTTTTCTATCTCTAGAAATATATTCAAGTCCTTTTAATTGAGTAATGTTAATTTCATGCAGGAAGTTTACTCAAATTCAAACAAGAAAATAAGATGGAAGACAATTGATACTACTTAATTAAACCCAAGAGAAAAGAACATGAAATAGCATTAGAAGAATTTCAGAAAATTTGGTCAATTAGGATTCATTACGTCTAGATACTCAAAGAAAAATTAGAACCTAAACATCTTCAAACTAAAATTACAAAAGAGATGAATAAAAGTGTTTGATCCCATCCTCCAGTCGTCTTTGAGTCTTTCTTCTCCTCAAAACAGTGTCCCTAGGTTTCTGTGCCAAGTTTCCTTTTATATGAATAGCCCAAAGGCTCATCTTCTCGCAAAAATTTAAACTCTGACGCACGTTAAAAGTACACAGCTATGTACTTTGGCAGTGTACATCTCTGGTCTCTAAAAATTACACTTCACAGCTTTTTTGAAAAGTACACACCCATGTACACGACCATGTACTTTGGCTGTGTACATCTCTGGTCTCTAAAAATTGTACTTCACAGCTTTCATGAAAAGTACACGCCCATGTATTTTGACTGTGTACATCTCTGGTTTTGATGATACACTTCAATTGACGCGACCAGTGAGATACACGCTCATTTACACGGGCATGTAGTTGCCTGTGTATATATCTGACTTCATTGTGTTCTTGATTCATGCAACCAGTGAGATACACATTCATATACACAGGCGTGTACTTTCCCGTGTATATCTCTAGTTCTTTGTGTGCTTCAATTCCCAATATTTTTTAAAGCTTTCACTTCTTGATCCTTTTTCCTGAAATATGAATAAAATGAAATTAATAATAGTAAATTTTTTCAATGAATAGCTTAAAACTCTCAATTATCATTCATGAATTACAATGTAGGATCAAGTATAGAAAGCATTTATCACTATGAAGCTTAAACAATTGAATTAAAAAATTCTTAGTAATTAGAAATCAATCATTGTAGGACAATATTTCAGAAACTTAATTTTAAAACTATTTATTACTTTTCAATAGATACACTTGTCCTCCGAACACGAGCCATACTTCGCTAGAGCGAGGCACACCTCATTAGAGTAAGGCACATCTCGCTTGAGCGGGAAACCTTACACCTAAAACTCTCTATTTTTTCAAGACTTTTGTAGTGTCAAAGATTATTATAGTAATCAACAAGTCATTTGTTATATTTTAATTCTGAACACTTATTGCTTTAGAGCACTAGCTGAATAGTTATTGGATATAAGTAAATACTTCTAGAATTAATGATAATTCAAAAAGAATCCATCAACTCTAGGTAATGAGTTTGAACTCTATTAAAATTAATACCTTTGTCAGGATAATTAAATAAAAGAAAAAATGAGTTTTCTTAAGTCATTAATGATAAATTAACTTGTTAGAGTATTGACAAATTATAACATACTCTAAAGTTAATTCAGAGCTGTAAAGATAAAAGGAAATGTTATATTATTTTTTAATAGTTCTTGAAAGTAAAATATATTATTTTATGCTATCGGAATTTGAGGAATGTTAGTAGACGTCAACCTTGATTAGTAAATTAAAAATTATTAATTTATCATTAACTTAGTTTGAATCTATGGCTACGAGTGTTCTAATCTTTTCAAAAAAAGAATTTATTATTTGATAATTAAGATTGTAAAACTTTTTTTATCAAATAAATAATTTTTCTTTTTAAAGTGAAATACTATTATCTTTGCTAGCACCAAGAATATTAATAATAAGACAATAGTACATTATAGATTATTGTTTGATAATATATTAAAATTCAATGGTTAAAAATACATTTGTCAGTTCAAGCAATTGACTTAGTCAATGAGTTGAATCAAAAGTAGCTTTAGTATACGATCAAATGAATGAACCACTTGAAGCTGGTATGAGAGTTGGTTTAATTGCCCTAACTATGGCAGAATATTTTTGAGATGTCAATGAGCAAGACATACTTCTATTCATTGACAATATCTTCCGCTTCGTTCAAGCAGGATCTGAAGTATTTGCCTTATTGGGTTGAATGCCCTCTGCTATGGGTTATCAACCCACCTTTAGTACTAAAATTGGATCTTTACAAAAAAGAATTACTTCTACCAAAGAAGGTCCATAACTTCTATTCAAGCAGTTTATGTACTCGTAGATGATTTGACTCTGCTCTTGCCATGACATTTGCACATTTAGATGCTACTACTGTACTATCAAGAGGATTAGTGGCCAAAGGTATCTATCCAGCAGTAGATCCTTTAGATTCAATGTCAACTATGCTCCAACCTTGGATCGTTGGTGAAGAATATTATGAGACTGTACAAAGAGTTAAACAAACTTTACAATGTTACAAAGAACTTTAGAACATTATAGCTATCTTTGGGTTGGATGAATTATTCAAAAATGATCGTTTAACTGTGGCAAGAGCACTAAAAATTGAATGTTTCTTATCACAATCCTTTTTCGTAGTAGAAGTATTTACCGGTTCACTGGAAAAATATGTTGGTCTAGCATAAACAATTAGAGTTATTGATCAAAGAAACACAAAATTAATGGTTATAAGACAACGGAGTAAAAATAGTTGCAAAGGTTGGTAAAATTGTCAATAAAGATTGGTAAAATTGTTGCAAATATATTATTATATATTTCAAGCAAACATGCTATGAATACAAAAACAAATTTTTTTCTCTCTCTCATAGTCTAAAGGTTAATGCAAGAAGATTAGTCTCGACGTGGATATAAGTGAGTTTTTACATTATTAAATTTTTTTTTACAATTCAAGAAATCATCTATTGATGCACAATTTAAAGTTTTTTTTTTCATCTGATCTGATATATCTTGATATAGTTTTTCTGCTGCTAGGAACATCAATATAACACTACAAGAAATACTTTGTTTTCTAATTTTCTTTGAATATTACTTTTTTTTTCAATTTTTTCCTTTGATTGCTTACTATTTTACAATATTTCTACTCTTCTTTTCCTCTTTTTGCTTTTTCAAATGTGATTTTAATCTGCTATTTACATATTCAAACCTTTTTTAATTTTATTTAAGTTTTTAGATAATTGTTTTTATATTAAAACCGATAACTATCTATTGACATCTCACATTTGAATTTAAGTTTAATAATTATATTATTTTTAACGACAATAAAACTCGATAACATAAATATATTTTTTACGTCACGTTATCGAGAGAATGAATATATATATATACAACTATATGACTATATACATTTGAAAATGTACCTAATACATTTTTCAATATAATTGTCACCTCCTTTAAGGCAAAATAACAGATAGTGGCTAAGTTAGTTAATGCTATTTGAGTACGTGACATTTTTAAAAAAAATAGAAAATAAGGAGATTATGTAATTAAAAAATCATACAAAAGGAGAGATATAATATAACATTTTACTATTTGTGACATAAATTTTACTTTAGAAAACTTATTTTTGGTTAACTTCAAAATACTTTAATCCCATTATTATTCAAGTCTCGAATTTAAAAAAAACTGATTGGAATGCATTATTAATATAAAAACTTTAACACCATCAACTAATTATTAATAGCTTTAAATATAACTTTTAAAAGAATTATTATACATTATAAAAAATAATTATTATAAAAATTAATAATTTTTAATTATACCACAACCTAAAATGACAGAGTGTAAAAGAAATCATAATTTTAATATATTTTAATTAAATCATTTAAAAATACAAGACAAGTATAATGAATAAGGAATTAAAAGTAAAATAATATTTTTAAAGATAATATTTAATATCAATATTTTATTTATCAACGTTTTTAATAATTTTATTTATTTATTATCTCTTCAAATATTATCTTAAGACAATAATTAATAAAATCGTAAATAAAAAGATTTTTAAATTAATATAAATATAATTATTTAGGTAATATAAACACACATTAATTACCTAATGATGAACTTGTAAAATTGAATCTTCACTCATTCTAATAATTAGATATATTTATTTTAAATTCAAACTTATTTAATTTAATAATTAAATAAACCAACTTAATAAATATTTAATAACATAAGCTCAAATTATTCATGAATAAAATTTATTCAAATACATTGTTAAAATGTTTTTACATTTTATCACTTAGATATTACTCTCAAAAACTTATTATTTTTATTCACACAACAAACACTTCTGACGGTAATTACAAATAACCAAATCTGTTTCGTTAAAATTAGAACTTGAGTAAGGATAATAAGAAAAGTGCATTAATTTAAGCACAAACATAACAAAGAGAAAAAATTTCTCAAATCAATTGAGGGGTACCAGAAAAAATAAGTTTTGTACAGAATAGAAAATAAAAAATAAATAAATAACGACGTTAATAAGGTAATACTAATAAGTTAGGGTAGCGGTGGACACGTGTCAAGAGAGAGAAAAAACAACGAATAATGCGTTTCCACTTCTCTTAGGTTTATAACGTTAACCGCTGTTCACTTACTCGGTTGATTCTACACGCACGCCGCCAACTCCAACGTTCCTCCCTCGCGTCCTAGTCTTATTCCGTTCTGAGTACTTCCTCTTTCTCTTATACCCCATTCACACTTTCTCTCAGCACATGCACGTAAAGTTCAGCATGTATCTTCTTAGTTCATATTCATTCGGCTACTCTTGTAGTCATGCTGCTTTACTTGTAAACACGTTCACTTGTTAGTGTTTTTTCGAGTGTTGCATTTATTTAGTCTTTGCTTGGTTTCTTCTAATTCGATGTGCATTCACTTAATTACTCCGCTAACGTGACTTAGGTAGGTGATGCTGATGAATGATGTTGAACTTCTAGAATTTCGATATTGGTGGGCAACAATGCAATTTATGATGAATTGTTTGTGTCATTGTTTGGAATTTGTTACATCTTTGATCATTTTAAGCCTTCAGTAATTTCTTGCAGTTTTTTTTAATCCCTTGACCTTTAAAGAAGAAATGGTATTAAATAATTAAAACAATTGATTATATTTACAGACCCATCAAAATGTTTCAAATAAATTTGAATGTGACATAAACCATGGTCTTTTTTACCTATATAAAATGTATTTGAAAGAATTTATCATTTTTAAGAGTGAGAGTAATTAAAATATTATTATTCAAAAGGATATATGCTTTATCTCTCACATGGAGTTCAATCTTTTAAATATGAACTTTACATTTAAATTGAATTTTAGTTTTGTTTTTTTTAAATTAGAATGTGTGATAAATAAATGTTTTGGCACCACTGACTTTGTTTTTTACCTTCGGCAACACGTTTGAATTACTGTTGAACAATTCATCCCCCCGGCCTCCCATTTGCTAATTGGTTCTATGTTCTGGTTACTGGTTTGATATACGCATACTCTGAAGTTAAAATGATACTTGATTAGCTCTCAGTTATAAGTTATCATTATTGAATGAAATTTTATTGGTATTCACTTCTTGACTAGAACTTTATGCCTAGGAGACTATGGTGGGGCTAGAGCCCTGTAAATTCCAAATGTAAGAAAAATTATTTGGAAATTGGAATTTATTACACCTTTTTGTATGGTAGAAGTTTGTGTTTGCTTTTTAGATATTTACTATTAAATCAATATCAACACTGTACTTAGTGTGCGTTTCGTTGGGTGTTTGTAAAAGTGAATTTGAATCAACTTGATTTTATAGAATTGATGTTAGTTACAAGTAAACTCGAAGTGAAGTGATATATGCTTGGAAACTTTTCTCTTAAAAGTAAGTTTGTGTTAAAACTTAATATAAAATTTTCAATTCAATGCAAATGCTGCAATTTATCACGTTAGTTCAAACTTGAGTTTGGAGACAAAATCACTTTTGATACAAAATTGCCAAACATGTTTGCATGAATTTCAAACTACATTTACATATTCAAAAGTGATTTTATGGTCTTTTAATGCTCATCCAAACAACTCTTAATTAGTTGATTTTGTATTGGTTGAATTTACTCATGAACTTGAACATTCTGAATTTAGCAGGCAAAGTTTAGCGGCAGCTAAGTTTGTGAAAGACAACCTGATACCCCTACATCCATTCTACATAAAGATATAGAGAATAAACCAAAATTCATTTAAAAAGTTGCACCAAGGAAGGAAAAGGTGCAATTAAAGGGTGAGTTACATGGGTCACTGTGAGAAGCCCATAATTAAGGTGGAGCCCTTTATAGATGAACAAATTGACACTACAAAAGTCTTTGAGGACATGGAAGTTGATATAGTGAGTTGGACAAATAAGGGTGATTTTGCGTCAAACAAAAATGAGGACCCTGATGCAACTGAATATTCAAGTTCGTTTGCTGACACTACATCTGATGCTGAAAACTGTTCTATATTGAGTGATGCTGAGGTGGAGTCAGAATTCTTGGGTGATAATGGCTTGGCAGGGACCTTTGATACTTCTCGTTCTATATTTCCGATGAGGTGAATTTTTTTTACCAAATCAGTAAATTTTAAATGCTTTTTGCTTGGACATAGATTTGCAATCAATATCTAAACAAATAACCCAGGTCCTATGAAATTGTTGACTAGCAATTGAAGTTATTAACAAAATCCATATTATGCACACAAATGTTCAAGTTAGATAGTGGGTGTTTAACAAATAAAATCTTAACATATCTACAGACTACTTTAGTAATGATTATTAGCAGAGGTTTGTATATGGTGTGCCACTGTCTTGATTTGATGTTTCAGTAAGGGAGTATGTTGTTTTCCCACTTGGCCTGTATGCAAATCCTTAGATATTGTATGTACTTCAATTTGTATTACCAAATGAAGATAATTGTTCTTCACCTATAGTCTAGTTGTAACTCTTGTTGGAATAATTTTGGCTTTGCATCTAGTAAGGATTCATATAGGAAAACCTATCACCATGCTTCGTATGGTCTCTCATCATTTATGTTTTCTTTACAGACCATTATTCTGTGCATCCTTAAGCTGATCAATATGTGGAGTATAACATGTGTATCTTAAATCTGCAAAACGGTGGTCAGTTTCTCTGTGCCGCTATTTGAGATTGAGTACTATGTTAATCATCAATTGGCAGTCATATACCAGTACTACTATTAAAAGTTAGTTGTTTTTAATGGTGATGTGATGCTAATATGCATTTTGTTGTTGTTACATCATCAAAGTAAACATAATAGTGTTATTTATGCATATTAATTTCCTATGTAACTGTAGGAAGAGGAAATTAACCGATCATTGGAGGAACTTTATACGACCTCTTATGTGGCGATGCAAATGGACAGAACTGAGAATTAAGGAAATTGACTCACAAGTATTAAAATATAGTAAAGAGCTTGCAGAATATGAGAAGAGAAAACATATGGAACCTGATCAATTTACCTTAGAAGAGTTTGGCTCAAAGTCATTGCCATTTTTGACTGAGCAGCGCAGAAGCAAGGCCAAAAAGAGAAGGAAAAGGAAGAAAGTTGAAGACATGACTGAAATGGCATCATATACATCACATCATTATATTTTCTCCTATCTTGGTAAAACTCATTTATCTTGCACTTGATTTGCTTATCTTTCTTCATTTTACCAACCACTTGTCCCCATTTCAGAGAAGTGTGTGACTCTTTCCTTACTTCTATTGTAGAGAATAAGAAGGCTGACCCTGATGGTTGTTTGGCTGATGATTTTGGTAATCCAGGTTAGAAATTCTGCTTTCTAATGATACCTAATACATTGCTTCTGCATAAGAAGTTAAGCCAGTGGCGCCAATGGCATCTCTTGTATTCTTTTCCCTTGAGAAATCAATGAAGAAAAATAATCTGTTTTATTCAACTGCATTAGCATTATGTTGGGGGTTTGTGTGTATTGACTTATCTTTCATTGTAATCACCTTCGGAAGATCCAGTCTGCCTTTCATTATGCCTCATTGTCACATTTGACTTGTATCTGATTCAATAATTTTTTATATACTCTTTTGATATAGTGATCACAGAGCCGTATGCTGATTCAACAGACAGATTTGGCAATGGGGAAGATCAATCTTTCTTTGAGTTTAGCGATGCCGATGCTTCCTTAGAGCAGCTCCTTTGGACAATAGACAATCTACATTCTAGGGTCCACAAGCTGAAGAGTGAAGTTGATGCAATCATGTCCAAAAATGCTTCAAAGTTTTCATCATCAGAGAATTTGAGCCTTCTTCTGCATGGTGATGTGCGGACTAGCTCTGCTCAAAGTCCTACAATCTCTGCAGGGAATGGAGATACAGCGTCTGTTGGGGCTATTTATAATTCAACTCAACATGTGGCCGAGTTTGATTTAGGAGATTTGGTTATGCCTGATAGTGCTGTTTCAAGTTACGGAGAAGTTGCAATTGTTCCTGATATAATTGAGAGCACTGTGGGCTTATTGTCTGCTGCTGATGTCACCCTCCATCCAGGGTTGGTTGGGGACTCGTGTGAACATGTAAGTTTTCTCAAACTACAGATTACACAATTTCAGGTTCTAGTTCTTTCTATAATTTCTGCCCACTTCTCATCAGATGATGACTAGAAAAGTGTTTTATACAATGAAATATTATTTGGATCTTTACACTGATAGGTAAAATGTGAGAGAAGTGTTATATAAAATTCAATAAAGATCAAGTCCATTTTCATTTTTTTGTGTCCACAGTTCAGTACTTTTTGTTTGCTAAACAATTATCTGTAGTTTATTTCTCATGGTTTTTTGTATATCATATATCATCATGCATATAAATTCATAGTGTAGCTGTGGATGTAGGTGCACACACTGAGTTAAATCCTTGTGTCACTTTCCCCCCTCTTTATCTTCTCTTTTCTCTTGTTACTCCCAACACTCTTCACTATCAAAATGAATGGTTGCAGATGGTAGACAGTGTCTTGATACATGAGGTAGCTGAAACAGGAGAGCACACCTTTAGAAGTGCAAGTCACCATCCCATGGAGAAGCTTTCGGATGCCGAGAAATGTGAAGGGGAAGAAAGTCTGCATCCAGTTTCTATCCCCATGTCAGATTTTAATACAGCAGCAAATATTGCAGTGTCTCAAGAGCAATCAACTCTCAAGTCCTGCATGTACAAAGATGTGAACATTCCCAAGAACAAAAGAAAGCGTGGGGAGCGCAAAGCTGGTTCGGGTGGTTGGAGCAAGAAATGCTCAGGGGAACCTGAAAACCAGTAAGCCTTCTTAATCTGCAGTGACTAAAGAATTTGTAGTTCATTTGACAGATGTTGTTTTAACTTTGAAGGTCATAGTGAATAAGTACTATTACAGAGTCGTTTGCAGTGAGGAAATTACTACTTTCATTCTGACCTCTAGTTTTTATACTTCACACCCATTTTCAATTTGGGTTTGGGTGTGGGCACACTATTTTAAATTTGATCAATATATGAAAGAAAAAATGCATTTAATTTTTACATGTATATTTTGTTTTTGATTTGATTGAAGAGTAACTTTAGGTGAAATCTTAACAATGCATTGATTAAGCAATTATAAGTGAAAAGTTTTATAAAAAAATGTTACTTTTAGTCCTATTTATGATAAATAAATATTAATATTTTTATTTATATTAATGAATTAGATATCTTTTTTATAAATATAATTACTTTTTATTGTTAATAAATTTTTTGCTGTTATTTTAAATATATTTTAGCATAATTTTAAACTTTTTACTTTTAATTTTTTCACTAATATCTTTAATAAGACCCTTATTTTTAATTCATTTAATGTTATTTGCTGTTGTAATATTAATGTCAAATTATTGTCTTGTTAGAGGACATGATAAGATGCAAAAGTTAAATAAAAATGTGACAGGTTAAAAATCAAATATAATTTTATTTTATTATATGTTTGATGTATACTAAAATAACAAATTAAATAACATTATATTATTTCCATTTATCTATTTCTAATTTAACCTTTCTTTTTTAATGGATAAGCTTTACATTAGAGGGATAGATAAATTGAATTTATAAGACAGACTTATCTTAGATAAATAAATATTAAAAATAAATTGGATAATATTTTGTTTATCTTATATTCATATTATGTTTATGAAGTATTTTAATTACTTGAAAATAAGTTTTATTCAAAGACAACAAATATAACTTTTAATACTTTTATTTTCAATTAGTTTTATGCTTTGAGTGTATCAAATTTTGCGGAGAAACTAATTGTATTTTATAAAAAATTGGAATTGTTTGGTTTTAAATATCTTTGTCTTTGAGCACTTGTTCAGATGCAAATAGGCTTGGGGCTAACTGAGGTTTGATGAGTGATGAGAATTAACCTGAATAAGTGATAATGACTCACCTTTATAAAACAAACTAAGTATTGCACGATAATATGTCATGCACACATTATCATGTCTTTGCTGTGCTCGCCAACTATCTAATTCATTTTGTTTTAATTTTGCATGACTCATGAACCTTTAAGTTGTCACCTTTTATATAATACACTTCCATAAGCCTGGTCTCGTTAAATTTAATTAATTTTTATCTTTCTATAATACTACATTAATTAATTAAGGTATTATGTATTTGGCCTGTCTCAATGTTTTTGTGCAAATTATAGAGGATATGTTTCTAGAAGAAAACTCTTTATCGAATTATAAAAAATTGAAACTTAATAAAATAACTTTCTTAACACAAAAAAGAGGAGAAGAAAATTTATTATTTTAGCCACACGTTTTATATTTTTCTCCAGTAGTAATATTTTTCACAATCTCTTTTTTATTGATTAATTTTTTTTTATGGGATAAATAATCTTATCTTAAATTTGACAAGATAATTTCTCAATTTTTCAGTATTGTGAATTTGTGATTAGTATTTCAAAGTGCTTATCTTCAGCATAGATCACTGTAACAATATGAAACAAAGAATGAATTAAATAAAATAATAAAATAACACATATAATAAGGCATTGAATAAAAGTACATAAGTAATAAAAATAATTTAAGTGATAGAAATAAATAATTAGCTGTGAAGTTCAAAGAATTGAACTTTATTAAAATGTTAAAATACATTGTTAAAAAGTAAAAGAGATGTTTAAGAACTCATTTATCATTTATTTAAATTTAAATATTTTGTAAATATAATTAACTTTAAATTAATAGGAGATGTATTCTAATTTATAAATTGATTAACTTAATTGAAAGATCTTAATTAATCCCAAAAAGCATGTACTTTATCAAGAGATGTGTCTTTGCAAAAGGTTTCTAATTCTAATGTCATCCATACCTCCGGGTAAAAGTTTCTTCAAATTTGAATTATGCTCTTATTTTGAACAATTAGGAACATGTTCTTCGATCTGAGTTTTAAGTCAACCATAATTTTCAATGTTAATCGAATCGAAACTTTTCCTGCCATTCCCACCACAGCATCTTTCTCTCATATTTAATATATTTGCCATTCACAGAGCCAGTCAAAGAATTTTTGTTACATCATCATTCTTTCACACACACAAGCTGGAGGAAATTTCTCAAGTAATTTCTACTCTCTGTCTCTCTCTTATTGAAAGTAGTTCTACAAGAATTGATCGTTTTATTTAAATAACTAAAATGAACGTTATATATAATATTATAGAATTATTTTTATTTCTCTTATTTTATATGTTTATTATGCATAGGCATTTAAAAAGTACTTCTCAAAATTAAATGAGATTACTTATTGATTGTCCATTTTATTGTTCATAAAGTGTTTGCTTCGATATATATGTTCAGTAGACCTTAAATTCCGTAAAGTTCGCAAAGTTGTAGACGCCATAGCGCAGTAGCAGCATCTCTTTGTGCTTTTGATTGGAAGGTCTTTGTTCCAATCCAAAGTGAACAAAATGATTTCCATGGTCTACAATGTACAAAAAGCAAAAGAAGACTGAAAGTCTGAAACCTCTTACTCTTTTTGACCCCTCTCCACTCAATAATAATAATAATAATATTATTATTATTATTATTATTATTATTAGAACTAATGTTTAGTTTACGGGTTAATTAAATACACCCTTGATGCTTCTAACTTGATATCGAATTCTTAATGAAGGAATGGAAAATTGAGTTCAGTGCCCTTGATGAATTTAAAGTATGAGCATATGCACTTATGAGCTGCAAAATATAACAGTTTCATAAGAAATTGTATGATTATAATTTACCTTGTGGCTTATTAAATGACAATTGCCAAGATGCCAACCAACATTTCCAATCATAATGTCTTTTTCTCTTTGCTGCAGCTTTTTGGAGTTTGGGGATAGAAATACATGGCACAACAACACCTTTAACAATTTTCAATAGTTTAATACATCAAGTGGCAAAATAATTATAACCATATTGGATTTTAGAATTCTTTTAACTTGACATACATAACTCTCCATCATGTATTGATTGTACATGGCTTCCCTATGCATTTGTTTGAGAAACCATTTGGAACTTCAAAGAATAACAACACTTAGGGTTCTTAACGTATTGATTAAGAAAATGATAATTAATATATTTTATTAAAAAATATATTAAAATATATTAAAATATTAAAATCACAAAATTAAATATATTTTTATGTTCATTCATTAAAAAAATCTTTCAATTTCCTTAAATACTTCCTCTCTTTTTAAAAAAAAGTCTCTTTAGTCAATTTTATTTTTCTCAAAATAATAGTCATTTTATAATTTTAAGGTAAAATTATTATTTTTTGTTTCATCAATTTTACCCTTAAGATTATTATATATTATTTCAAAACTCATTTTCTATCTCTTATCTGTATTTATTTATTGTATAAACAAATTCAAAATAATTATACTAAAAAAATTATCACACTTTTAAAAAAAGAAAGATAATTAAATGTATTTCTTAGTTCTTGTGTCACAAACTTAAATGACTATTTTTTATAAACAGATAAAATATTAGTAAACTGGTGTCCTTAATATTTTTTCCCAATACTTAAACATAAAAGTTTACAGAAGATTCCATCATTCAAAAAAGAAATCAATTATCTATAATTTAAAGACTTGCATGAGTGTTTGTGTAGGGTGAATTATGCATATATCATTTTTATCTTCAAATCTTGTGTGAAAGGCTATTAGTTGTAGGAATCTTAAATTCAGTCATTAGGTGTATTATGAAAACAAAAATATTATTTTTTACTGAAAATTAACAAAACATTTACTATAGATTAAGAATATAAAAACATAATAAATATTAATTAATTTAAAATAATTAAAGTTAGTTCTAAGGTTAAGAAAAACATGAATAATTATATTACGAGTGAAATAAGACGGGTTATATGGCCAAGCAAATAAAATAATTGCTCTCTTGAAATGTCCACATTATGATCATAAACAGAAAAGGTGGAGGAGCTTGTGTAATAATTGCACAGCACAAGTTCAGAGTTATTGAAATTAAATAGGCCCTTTTGTATATGCATGACACGGAGCGTTTTCAAATGGTGATGTCCACATGAAAGCAAATTATAGCTCCTTTTCTGGATATACTTTGAATTGTAAGAAAGATGATAGTGATATGTATAGGATAATATTGTCCAAGCATGCAATTAATTGCAATACGTGCAGCTATGTACATTTACTTACAAGGTGATGGAAATAATTAGAGTTTCATGTTAGGGGTAAATATATAACTATTTTGGGATTGGATACCAATTCCCTTGAATCAGAATCCCAATGATATGACCCTCTTCTACATTTACGTAAAGATCAAACATAAGTTTTCCCCTCAATTGGTGAATTTTGGTAACATGTGCCATTTGATCAGTATTTGTATGAATATAAAATTATTGCTATTATAGTTAAAAGAAAATTTACAATCTTTACAGCTATGTAGTACCTTTTTTTTAGTTTTATTAATTTATATCCTTATAAATTTGAGTTGATAAACAAAGAATGATTTTGAAAATTTTAAAAAATTATTTATTTAATTTAATTGTATTTAATATAGTATTTATCATTAGTAATTGAAAAATTTATTAAATTTAAAAATATTGATGTAATGTACGAGAAGTTCATTACTTGTACATAAAAACATTTTTCTTCATGATTTCTATCTATGGCCGACAAAATAAAAATATTGCCGGACAGAACAATCTCGAATTGATGGTAGAGGTGGACGAAACTTATCAATCAATTACTAGAAGAAATCCATGTTATAATTCCTGGAATCCTGGTATTGAATGTCAACAAGTTAGAATAATGAGTGATGGCAGCATGGGAGATAATACGTAAAAGTTTTTAGCATATTCTATAAATTTATCTCTCAAGCGTGTGCAAGATCACTTAACATTTACAAATTAACATGAGATGAAATAATTACATAATTTCTATTGTTCATAAATTTCGGTCCACTTATCATTACCATAATTATATTATGTGAAGAATGGGTTGAGGGTTGTGTTACTATAGGCAAGTGAACAGAGTTGTGGTTTAGCAGCCCATAATTTTTCTGTCATAAAGGCAGGCCAAGCATGTCTTATACCAATTAATTGCCTATGTGATCTCCTCTTCCTAGCAATCATATGAGATTAGGAGCAAAACATGATTAAGGCTTCAGAAAGTAATGAATTTAATAAGGGTATTGTTTCCTTTTTGAAGTGATAGGGGCCACCTTGGTAATTACATTAAAAGTAGTAACATTTTTACTTTGCTTTGAAATTTCAAATCTCTCTCTCTCACTCAAAATCAGAAGGAATCATGGCAGCCAAAGCAAAAGGAAGGGGTTGGCTTACAATAAAGAATGGGAGAAAAGGAAAGAAGCACGTTGCCAACCCCATCTTAGAGTCTCAAACTGAAGCAAAAGGCTCTTCTTCACTGCCAACACAAATGAAAGTACTTTGCCCACTACCTCCTGCTCTTTCATACTTTCAATTTTCTTTGTTCATGCAAGATCCAAAGAACGATTCACACACAAGGTATGTTATGAACACTAATACTATAGCTAAGCTCACTTCTTATTTTCCTCTACCCCTTCCTCTCCTTCACACACAAACCCATACCTATGTTGATAATTTAATTATTTTGTATATTCACCTTTTTGTCATATGCATTACTATATTCTTTTTTGCTTACTGATAAATCTTTCTATAAAATGTGTGATCATGTATATGAGCTAGGAGATTGTATCAATTATTTTTTGTTATATAAGCTAGGATATTATCTAACTTTTTTTGTTAGTTAGTTGTGGAGAAAATGCTGGCATTGCATTATTTCTATGAGGCCTAAAACTAAACTAAACGCTTGTCGGGGTTAGAAAAAAAAAAATGGAGAGCACGGGCTCAATATATTAGTCATTTGATTGGTTCAACCTTATTTTAGATCAAGTCTAACCTCTGCAGATTATAGTCCTTCAACCTTGATAATGTTATGAATTTGACCAACCCCAAAACATTATTCATGCCAGGGTGGGAGGTCCATTTCATTGGCCCTAAATTTGGAATTTCCTAGTTGGCACAAACAAGTTTATATTAATTTTGTTACAGGGCCTAAACTTGACCATAAGAATAGATTCTTTGGATTACGAAAAGTAAATAAATTAAACTAATTTTCCAATTTGGGTAATTGGTTATATCGGGAAAAATGAATATAGTGAAAAGAGTATGAATCAAGCAGCATCACCTTCTCAAGACTTCATGCATGACATATGCTTCATTTGAAGTTGCAGGAAGCCCTGGTATCAAAGAGCAATGGAGGTGGCTAGTATATGGAAAAGCATGTCCAAGTCCACAGAAATTCCCACTACTAATTCCACAATATGGAAGACAATGCCAAAGTCCCCTCAAGGCCCTACTCCAAGTCCCAACAAGAACAAGCTAAGAAAATGTGCCTCTCTTAAGGTTGCCACTTCCTTTACAAGGGTATGTCTCTGTGCACCTATCTATTCCTACAATGAGATTTTGAGAGCTGAGGTGCCACCTAGAAGAAGTAATAGTTACCCAAGATCAAGACCATTGCAAACTACACAAGAAAGAACTCCTAGTGCTAGACTTAGCACTGAGGGAAGAAGAGTATTCAGGGGTAAATCATTGACTGATGATGTTCTAATGAGGAGGTTTGTCATTGAGGAAGAGGCAATGATGCAGATTAGAAGAAGAAATCAAATGGAAGTTATTAGGAGGAGGAGTATGATGAGGAGAAAGAAGCTTGGGCCTAGTCCTCTTAGTAAAATGGGTATGGCAGATGAAATTGGACAATTTAATTGATTAGTCCAATTCCTCTAGTGTCCAGTCCATTTGGTGAATTTTGATTCCCAGTCAGTACCACACTTGTTCCACTTTTTTATTTTTTGGTCTTAATTCATTGACTGAACTTTTTCACCTCATGTTAGCAAGTTTCTACAACTGGGGTTATATTATAATTACAACATATTTAATTTTATGATCCCATTTTGAGTGGGTTTAATTAATTTAATGATATTGTCATGTATAGCTCAGAATCACAATCTTAATTTCATTTCTATGTTCAATCCAATGGATTTAGAAACGGAAAAAAATCTTATTTTAATCAAAGTGCCTGTTTGAATTAATTTATGAAACAACTTCCAATCAAAAGCTTTATAAGAGGACTTTCTAAAAGAGAAAAAAACAATTATTTTAAAAAAACAAACAAACCAAACATGTACTGAATCTTAACTTCTTAAGTGAACAAACGCTGCCAACTAACTACTATGTGTAGACTTCTTAATTTGCTTATAAGACACTCTATAAACGTAATTCATATAATAAAACTTGTAGAGCAAGGATAGTGGTTATCTAATTTGTATCGGAAAGGCCAAGTTAGGTTGTTTTGTGACTAGTAATGTGAATCTGATACACACGCATGCTTCATGCTTAACTTATCAACTACCCCCTTTTTCTTCTTTTGTGAATTTGTGCTTGATGACATATGGTTCCTCTGCCAATCTATTAGTCTTTGTCTATCGTAGAGTGTATCTCCCCTGTGGAAATACACACCCATTTAGCTTCTTTACGTAATTTACAATGTTCCAACTTGATATGCCTAATTAGATCAATAAGTATGTGCTATGAAACTAAGCTTGTGTTAATTCCAAATCAATTAAACAGGGCTTTCATCTTGAGCTCTGTAGTGGACACACATATCTTGTTTTAATTTTTAACTATGATATTAGTAGCAAATGTTTGCTTTATTGTTAGGAAAATGTAGACGCTTTCTAAATAATGTATGTAGATATTGAATTTTCAAGAAACATAATTTACTTACACTAGTTATTTTGCTAGATTGAGAAGGTGAAAGGTGTTTGGAGTTAGTAGCTTTCTCCGGAGTTTATACAATGAATTAGTTATTAGTATCAATCCTTTACCAATCAAATCTTATTGGCTTATTAATATTCGTTACTGGAGATTGGTCGGCCTAAATAATTAAGTTCGATTAGCTGATTGTACTAATGGAAATTAATGTAAGAAAATAAAATATAATTTTACATTAATAAAGATGGCTAAAGATTAGAGATAAATTTTTTAAGGAAAAAGTTTACTTTAGCTTTGGTTGGAATTTGGACTCTAGTTTTCTTCATTTCTTAGATAAAAATATTTTCAAAGCTCTAAATTATTCTCTTTTAGCAATATATTTTTTGAGGTATTTTTGTCTTAAAAAAAAAATTGAACACCTACGCTTTCAAGATTTAGGACTTAAATTGCATATAAACGAATACACACGAGAATACAATAAAAATTTTCCTTTTTATAATGAATCTCAATAGTAAATTTTTATAAATAAAGTTTATTATTATCTATTTAAAATATAAATTTTAAATAAATATAAAACTAAAAGTTATATATATATATATAATATTTTTTAACATACATACAATAATAAGAATCAACAGAGGTTAGTTTAAGTAACAAATATTTTTGTTTAAGTAAAGTTTTCAATTTAAGTTTTTATATATATAAAAAATTTCTAGTAATAAATTTACCCACTACATCTAGATACGCGACTGAGATTGGATTAGGATGAAACTGAATGAAAATAAAAAATAAATAAATATATATATATATATATATATATATATAAACAATTCATGAACTAATTTAAATAATTCACAAATATATTAAATCATTTACAATCTCACTTGTAAAGTTCATATTTTGTCGTAACATCCTTTCAAATTAGTCGGAATCACTCCCTCGAGAGTTACTACTTACTAGTTGTTATAAATCAGAGGACACATGGAAGAACAGCAGGCGAGACATAACGAAGCAACAAATGAATGATTTGTTCTATGAAAATGATTTGTTCAATGAGACGTAATAAAGCAACGTGTTTTAGAGTAGTTTTAGCTAACAACGAGTGAACAAGTTGCATAGTAGTTTTAGCTAACAACATATTTGGGGAACAAATTTCAAAGGGGAACATGGGACACGGAACTGAAACACCTAGTGAATTGACATTTGTGCTTCAACTCAACATTAATTACAGACACCATTGCATCATGATGTGGTTGACAGATAATATCGGTTACCTACCAAAACATGCTTTATAAATTATATATACTTCCTTTCTTCTCATGACAATTAAGACAACTCTATCTGAATCAAGTCATTGTTTGTTTACGCGTTATGTTTTTTGTTTCTAGATATTAATTTCTTTTTCTTTCCTCGTACATTAAGAATTTCACTTGTAACTTTGTTAAGTTCCAGTCAATCAAGCCCTAAAAGAATCATAATTAAAAGCCCTACAATGTAGATGATAAATTCAATAAAAAAATATTATCTTAATATTTAATTTAAGAAAAAAACGAGAGAATTTAAATCTTAATTGAGATTACTTATCCATAAAACTATTGCAATTAATTATTTCGCAGTCAAGTACCTTCTACAATTTGGTATCTACTCCAACCTAGACGCACGAGATGGCCCTTGTGCTGTTTGTTTATTACGAAAAAGTGCATAGTTAGAGGAATCTTTTAAATTTCTTGCTTGGTTCCCCACATACCCAGCCCAAATAGTTGGGTTCCGTATACTAATATATAGGAATCTTTTATCGACAACTCTCAAGCTTATGAGATTCCAACATCAATTTCGTTATTTTTATAAATAAAAGTGGTTCAAAAAATATTTTTCTTTCAATATATATGTCAGTTAAAAATGTTCAGACACATTTTAATGCAACCTATTAATGCAACTCATCTTACATGAAGAGCCATGGGTATTTAATGAATCCTACATTTCGTAGTTAATTCTACAGATTTTATCTTCTTTGAGTAGATAAATAAAAACAAATATTACAAATTTTTTTAATGATGAATTTCTTCAAAAGTTGTTTTTAAGATGAATGAGTTTTTTTTTTTTTTTTTACAAACTCCGTTGATAGCTCACGTGGGAAAGACAGGGAGAATAGTGAGGAATAATAATAGGATGAATGAATGTGGTAGCGGTACAAGAAAGAGGGACACTAGTGTTTTTCAACCAAATGGTATACTTGGCTTTCACGAATGGATGCTACCTCTGACTTGTCATGTGTTGGCCTTTTCATTCTAACAATGGTTGAAGTCACATGACTCAACTCCACCTCCAGCGTGTTTGGCCCATTCAATATTCATCACCCATTCTTTCCCATGCTACTCTTCTATGTACACTGTTATTTCAATGCCACCCCAACATTATCTCTACGCAGGTTGTACCTGTGGATGTGGGGTAGGTTTTTGTAACCCCCTCTGCATTTTCTATTGAGTGAATACCACGCACTACAACTGTTTCCACAATGTATAACTTTACAATGCCTCTTGCTACCATGATCATCAATTATTGAGTACAAGCTCTTTGTTACGTAATTTATAAATACAAATTGAATAATTATGTTCATTGATTATATTTCTTTTAGCTGTATTTTTGTTAATTTTTTAGAATTGAATTTAATTAAATATTTAAAATTAATATTTTTGTTTAAAAACATTTATTTAGTTATAACTTCAGATGAGAGTAGGATGTGGACCACCCGGTCCTACGTGGTCAATCCCTATGTATACTTTGACAAAACGGTCATGACAATCTCGTATATAGACACTCAATCGAATAACCGAGAAGATTTTTCATTTTCAAATATAGGAGGATTCTTGTTTTCGAACATAGAGTTTTCATTTTAGGAAGGATTAAAGCTAAGATTTTAGTTACTGAAATTTAAAAATGTCAAGTTAGTTATTCAATCATTTATTTTTATGTTTATTTATATTTTAGTCATTTGAATTACATAATATCGAGGATTAGCTACTAACATGTGATATTAATATATATATATATATATATATATATATATATATATATATAATTGATTAGATAACAAAAATTGATATTTATACAATGTGATATATATATATATATATAATTTTAATACTTGAAATTGTTATTCCAATAAATATTTTAATTTTTAATTATTAAAACATTTCATTTACACACCATTGTTTTTTTAATTCTTTTTCAATACTATTATTTTCAGTTATTGTTTGCGTTTTTTTGCTAGCAACTTTGTGGTCACCAATCAACACAATGAGGTTCTTTATTTTAAAAATAAATTTTAAAATAAATATATTGAGTTGGTTTCAAGTTAGACTTCAGTAAACCAAATCAAGTATGACATAAATGGATTCTGAAATAGATCTCGAAAACAAATTTGAAGCTAAGGAGAAAAAAAATCAAGTCTAATAGATGATGGTATGTCATCTTTGAGTTTATTAGAAGAAAATTTTAAAATTTTAAGTTAAGCATGATAATAGAAGTGAGTATTATTCATTTAAATTTGTTGTAAAAAAAATTAAAATAAATAAAGTTAAAATGAATGTATCGAAAAAGAACTAGTGAGGTTGATGTAGAAAATAATTAAAATTTTTGACGCCAGAAAAAGTATTGAAAAATGCCGACAGTCTTTGACAAAAAAAAAATGCAGACATAGACAAAATATTAAGAAAGAATGAAAAAATAATAATAAATAGATCAAAGATTTTTAAAATTAAAATTTAAAATACTTGACGAGTAATAATTTAATGAACTAAAAGAATGATATATATATATATATATATATATAATACTATATACAACATTATTTTTATTTTAAAAATAATTATATATGTTATTTAATTTGGCATATTACAGATATGTTTGATTAGTATTTTAAAAATAGTTTTCTGTTTTAAAAACAGAAAATTATTTTTAAAAAAGAAAAATAATCATTTTCTAATATTCTAACAATATATGTTCATAAAGTATGGATCAAAGAACTAGAATAATAAATGTAAATAAAAGTTACAAATGTGATATTTTTAAAATTTTAAGAATTAAAATATTTAATAATTACTATATTAGAGACTAAATTAAGAATTTAATCTTCCAAAAATTAGGAAATCGATGCAAGTAAAAATGATGTGAAATAGAAATCTACGTAATTTATCAGTAATTTTTAGCAATCGTGTCTAATAAACTGCCACCAAAGAGCGTTCTTGCAGTGCTTAATGATTAGTCAAAGTAAATATTAGATTTGTAAGTTTTTCATTGGTTTAACAAGTGAATAATTGATTATACCACCTACTACTAATAATAAATACATGATACTTTAAAATATAGCTTATACTAAATTTACAACACTAGTAGTTATCTTGTTGTACAGTAAATTCATTTTCAATAGCTCTATTTGTTCGATATTATAAAACTAATAAGTCAATATATAGTCGACGAGAATTCAGTTTTTTTTTTTTTAATTAAGTCAAACCAATCAAAAAGAGTTGAATAGGAGTCAACTGATTCAACCTAAATATACTAGCTAGGTTGATGGTGTACATAATGAATTTAATGACTAACTCAAAGGAGCTAAGGGTAGGAGACTAGTTCATTGATATAACTGATTTGTTCAAGTCCAATTTTAAACATTGATTATTAGAGGACCACATTTTACTCTCAATAATTTCAATGCCCAAATAAAAACACACTAATAATAATATTTTTTTATTATAATATCCTAATATGATGCAAAACAAAACCTTCTTCAATAAAATGTGGCTGAAATTTAATGATTTTTAGTAATCAATCCATATACCAGAATTTTTTTAATGCACAAATATTAAAAATAAAAGAAGATTACTTAAACAAATGTTGTAGACAATTTTATATTTGTTATAAAATCTTAATAAAAAAAATCTATTTACTATATATATAAAAATGATCAAGTATTAACATTACTTTTGTTTGATAAAAAATAAATTATTAATTTAAAATTTTAAAAATTACACTAATGAATAATACATTATAATAATATTTAATACATTGATAATATAAATTAATATTTTTATAAATAATATTATTTATTGGTATAATATATCATGTTATTAGTATAAATTTAAAATATTTATTCTAACAGTTTAATTTTGTTGAAAAAATCAAAACTAACAAAAATTAATTTGAAATTTGCTGCATTTAAAATTAATATGATGTTTAATTTTTAATATAATATTTTTATAATAATTTATTTTAATTAATAACTATATTTATTTATTTAATCATAAATTACATGTAATACTTCTTAATTTTTTTTCACGTGTCATCTCTTAAAGAATCAACGTAACGTCATTTCTCTCTCTCTCTCTCTCTCTGTTTTTTTTATCATTTCAACTTCATGTGTTACATATTTCACATTCAATATGTCAAGCGTGAAACTAAAGCAATTACACTAGTTAGCTTGAATTTTATAACTTCAAACTTGAAAATTCCAAATCAATGTTTAATATTGTTTAACTTAATTAAATACATAATTTTTATTGGAAACATTTTTCATCATTAGTAATACATATTATTTTTATCAGCAAACCTTACCATTCACACTGCAACAATAATAATGACGAAACCTTTTCTTATAATCTGTGTTAATGAATAAAGATGCACCATTTCATGGTGCCATCACAGTACCCAGTGGCCCCATTCGAACATTTTTCCACACGGTGCTTTTGGATTCTTACTAACCCTGCCTGAGCTCAAACGAAAAGAGGACTCTGTCTTCTCTGGTTTTGACTATAGCCAAAACCAAGACTTTTCAAAGATTAACGTGGCATTTTATTAACACATTTTGAAGAAAACACCAAGTTAAGCTTGTCAATAGCAATACGTAACCCAACTTAGTTTATAATCACATCCGAGTTCAAATTATGATTTCAATAAATTCTTTTTATGACCTAAAGTGTAGCATCATGAAAGGAACGCACACAAAAAATAATGCAAGATATACAAAGCAATTTGTATTTTTCTTATTCATGTTCCTGCCATATTTCATGGGAAGTGTTACAAATCAACTAATCAAATAATAAAGTCAGACAAGATAGAACCTTTCAGTACTTGAGAAGAGGTGCAAATACAATGCAAAGTTCAAAAATTCCCTTTTTCCTATTTCTTGAATTTCAATGATATCCTTTTATGGACTCCATAAGAGCAAACACAAGTATATGCATGTGTCTACACAAGTGCCCCACCCGCTCCAGAAAGTAAATAAACCAAGAGTAGCACTACCGAGCGCGTATCATACACATGCTACAAAGAAGCGTATGGATGAAAGTATTCTGTGAAAGCTACACCTACATGGCAGGGCCATAAATAAAAATCTACGCTTTATTATTAATTAATTTTGCTATGCAGTATTTTTGTCAGATCTAAAATTCACAGTGGATATGAAAATGTTGGTAAGGTAGCAATAATGAAAGTTATAATAGAATTAATAAGGAAGAAGAAATAAAGAGCAGGGTACCAAACTCAACCGTTTATAATAAGTGGCATGTAATTCTTTGTAGGTGTCCACATAGTCTTCCCATTGAAGTAAAGTTGGTTGAAGTTGTCCACATTGAGTGAGAAAGTGGCCAACTAGCCCCCTCTTTCTCTTTCTCTCATCATCATCATCATGGAACCAAAAGAAAGTAAAATTATAAATCCAACAAAACAAAGAAAATTATAAATCCCACAAAAGGTGAAAGGTGGCTAAGGAAAAGTAACTTCACACAAGCTAAGGGAATTGGATTCTATGCTCTAGAGATAGATAGATAGATAGATAGAAGAGAGAGAAAGAGAGAGAGATTAGTACTATTTGAGAGAGCCAACCAAGGTAGAAGAATCATGTGGTGCTGGAAAGGAAAGGGAGGCTAGAAAAAGAGCTAGAGAGAGGGTTTCCTCTACTTTGTTCTGTGCCTGTGTCTGTTACAGCACTTTTAGGAGTTCTATCAAGCTCAGCCAACCAACAAGGTATCTATGATTCTAGTGTTTTGTGTTTGTTATGAATAAATTTTGCAAGATTTAGCTTTTGGGTTGTGTTAAATTGGTTAGTTAAACACTCGTTAGTTGTTATTATCAATCTTATGGGCATGGACATGTCAGAATTGTGATTTTTTCCTTTCCTTCTGATTTGTCATCAACATGGCATTAACTGACCTCACCTCGGGATCCTCTATACATTGTCTCAATTGTAGAGCCAGTCAGAAGATTATGTTTTCTTGTTATTATTAAACAATTCACTTTCTTTCTGACATGTTCATAACTTGGTATTTCCTCTCCAGGGAATTGACCAAGTTTTCAATTCATAGATCATGTAGGATTTTCTTTCTTCTTTTGTTTCTAGAACAAAATTTCGCCTTTCTTTTTTTCTTTTTTGGCGTTTAATGTTGACAATTCTACCTTCTTATCTGTTTGTTTCCATTTTTCTGTTGAAAAATTCGTTTCACCTTAAATTATACTCCATACTCTTTTTATGTAGCTTTAATTGATAGTGTCATGTACCCTTAAATTGGTATTTTTGTTAATACAAGTATCTAATTAAATACTATGCCATTTTCTTCTTCTTTTGCCATCTACATAAAAGGGCCTGTTTTCTTGGGTAAATAAAGGGTTTTTCATTTGGTTCCATTTGTTGTTTATTTATTCAATTGTTTTTTGGCCATCAACAGCCTGAAAATAAAATAGAGATGCTGCCTCCTTGCTGGCGATCGTTCTGGTGAGCTTAACTCTCTTCATCAATTTCTTCCTAGGTAAAAAAGTAACATTACATATTCCAAAAATGTAAAATAAAGAAGCATAATTTTATGCTTTCAAATTGATTGTTATATATAGCCTTAAACGATGTTATCAAAATTCTCAGCAGAATGAATTATATGTGTGTGTGTATATATATGTATAAGAACCTTTTTGTGTTGTTGTATGCTAGTCCATCTTTATCTCATATGTCTCTGCTCTGTCTTGTTAAGGTAGAATTTTGAGTACCTGATGGATAATTCTCTGCAGTATATGTATAATATATGAATGCTTTTTATCTTACAACTCCTGAATTCATCTAATATTTGGAGCTAGCTGAAAAGTCATTAGTTCTATAAGGGCACCAGCATGCATAGACCGTGATCTTTTATCTTCTTCAATATCTCTAACAGGAAGAGAAGGTAATGCTGCTGACATGGGAAAGAAGGGGAGTTGGTTTTCTGCAATCAAGAGGGTATTCACACACTACTCCAAGGGGAAGGTATGTAGTATAAGCACCTTCACAGAGAGATGTGAAATGCTTGATTTGGTTTTTTGTGTTTCTAGTTATATTTGGGTTATTTTGCATCCCCATTAGTTGCCAAAAGATTAACCATTTAAGGCTGGAATTGTGGTGATAAATGTGTTGCATATTTAGTGACACTGAATTGTAATGAACAGATCTATGGCAATATTAAGAAATTTCATCCGTGTGAACTAACTCACCAAATTTTTACAGTATAAAAAATTTGGCCAATTTAGGCTTTGTAGATTTATAATGATAAAGTTAGTCCACAATTAAGAAATCTGTAAAGCGTCAATTAGGTTCCTCCATAACCACTAATAGATAATTTGAAATATTGCAAAGTGATCTAAGAGGCTGCTTGCCGTTCATCGCAACAATCTTACATTATATCGCTTCTTGCATTAGTTTTAAGTTGTTATGCCCCTTTTGTCTGAACTTTGAAGCAGTAAGCAGCATCTGCATGATGATTATTGTTTTATTTGGAACTCAATGTTCTTATAGCTCTGCCTTTAAAGTTGCAGCAAGATTTGTACCATTATGAACTTGCTGCCAGTCTGCACATTTATTTATCTAATCACTGTATATAATATAGCAGGATTCGGATAATAAAGGCACAAAAGAGAAAAAGAAAGGTCTAGGAAAACTAAAGCATGGAGAGACCAATTCTTTCATCCCTCTCTTCAGAGAGCCAAGTAGCATTGAGAAAATCTTTGGGGACTTTGAAAGGGAGCAACAGCTATTGGCGATAAGGCCTCCCACTCCTCCTGAGAGACCCAAAACGCCACCTTATGCCCCTCCAAGAGCTGCTTCTCCTAGAGCTCCTTCTCCAAGGGGTCCTTCTCCAAGGCCTCCATCTCCAAGGGTTGCTTCTCCCAGGGCTTCTTCTCCAAGAGTTACCTCTCCCAAAGCTGCACCCTCCCGGATTGTTCATCACCACAAGGAGGTTGGCTACAGACCAGAACCAACTTTAAGGAACCAGCATGCCTCAGCTACTAAGATCCAGGCTGCTTACAGAGGTTATATGGTAAGTTTTCATGATCTTGTAAATGCCACAAATAGAATTCAGGCTTTGCTAATGTGTTCCCTTTGATCTGTGTTAGGGAATTAAAATAAAAACTATAAAAAGAAAAGTAAAAGTTTTTAATATCTTGAATATCTGAAAAACATGTAATACTTTCTTCCTTAAGTGATTAGGATGATACAATAAAGGGTAATACATGCTTTTTATCTATGTCAAAAGGAGACAAGTTAACAAAAGTCATAGAGTTTAAGGGTAAACCACAAACCTCATGTCTACTATTTGTTTAGGTGCATATCATAAAAATGAGAAGTGTTAACAATACACATTTTCAAACACATTTTTACTATTAGTTGAAATTTATCATGATTCACAGAATAATATGGGTCCTACTCCGTATTTTATGAATCTCAAAATTTCTTGATTTCTAATAAATTTAAGATAATTATAAATAGTCTGTTGCTAGCACTTCTCCATTAAAATTGCAAATTTTTTAAAGTGTAGAAGAGTAAACACATAATATAATTATTTTCTGAGCGAAACAAAGTTAGCCGTGCCTCTTTTGTTAACCTTGAAAATTATGTGCCAAAATAGGGCTGATTATTGTGCCAATTTACCTTGACAAAATGGACAGGTTAGTATTGAGTCATTGTTTGCATGCAGAATGCCCCTTGATCCAATAATTTTACATGTTTTTTGTTAATATGAAACCAAGATATTTTGTGATATTTTAGTGCTTGCAATACAGGCCAGGAGGAGTTTTAGAGCTCTAAAGGGGTTGGTTAGACTTCAAGGAGTTGTAAGAGGACAGAATGTGAAGAGGCAGACAGTAAATGCCATGAAACACATGCAACTGTTGGTGCGAGTTCAATCCCAGATTCAGTCTCGAAGGATCCAGATGTTGGAAAATCAGGCACGATATCAAGCTGAGTTCAAGAATGATAAGGAAGCAGCCAGTACCTTGGGCAAACTTGCTTTAGGCCATGGTGTAAGCCCTCTAACTTGAACCACCCTGTGGGTTCCCTAATTGAAACTTGTTGAGAGCATAGGAAAAATGCATGAAACATTAACTTGTGTTGACAACAGAAGGTTCAACTACTAGAGCATAAGTGGAAGGAATTAACTATGGCTTAGGTGTCGAGAACTTATGCTTGGTCAATTCACTTTAAATATTATCTACTTGTTTCTACTTTTGGCACTTCAATATTAAAAGACTTTACCCTTCACTAGTGTTCTGTTAATGGTAAATACCCTTCACTTTGTAGTGTTGATGTGGGTTAAACATGGTAGGTAGTGCTCTCTATCCCGTACTCTTTCCCTGGTGAATGTTGTTTTTATCCCAAATCCTTGCACTCACAGCAAAGGACTTCAGTGGCTATTCCTAAGCCAGCGGACACCTTCAAATTTAATGATTATCCATGCCATTCGAGTGGGTTACTCTATGGCTTAATTTCCTTTTTAATCTGGTAAATAAATAATGGAAAATTCAAGTTGTTGGTATATTACAGATATAAATACTTTACAATCCTAGGAGTGTACAATCACAAGTCACAACTTGGATCTTTTCAACTATAGATGATCATGCTATTCCTCATTACAACCATCATGTTTGTTATGAAGTTAGTAAGTTAGTATGATGTTAATCACTGTAACCTGAAAATATGCCGTGGATTCTAATAAAAGTCCACCTTTTATTCAAAAATGTGTGCATGCTTTTATTTCCCACAGCCTTCCTTTAAGTTAATCAAACTATGTGGTTTTGATAATTTGGAATTTTGGTGTAGTCTGAAGCAGGTCATGAAGAGTGGGATGATAGCTTATTGACAAAAGAGGAAATAGAGGCAAGGCTGCAGAGGAAGGTGGAAGCAATCATCAAAAGAGAAAGAGCAATGGCATTTGCATATTCACATCAGGTACTCACCGCACCAACACAACCTAGAATACCATTTATCTTTTGCTTTAAATTCTTCATCAAAGAGAAAAAGACGCTTTTTGCATTTGTTCTATTATTTTCTTTATCCAACTTTGAAAGGGATCTTGTATTCCATTACTTGCTCAATTCTTTTAAACTAACATTTTCAAAGAAAATATTGTGAGATTGATTACTTAGTAGTTAGGATAATTCCAAATTTTCATTTTTTTTTCCATTGCAATAGTAAAATATCTTTTTATTATTATAACTTTCTTGACTCGGCCTAACAGTTATGGAAAGCCACTCCGAAATCAACTCACCCCCCAGTGACAGATATGCGATCAGGTGGATTCCCCTGGTGGTGGAACTGGTTGGAAAAACAACTTCCTGCAGCAAATCCACAAGAAAAACAAGTCTTGAAGAGTTTTCAACTCACACCTCCAAGACCATACTCAGAACAGAAAACTAGTCCAAGACCTGGCTCCAGCACTCAAAGGCAACAGTCTCATTTTGCCTTTGATAACATGGACACACCCACCCCAAAATCCACAAAATCAACCATACTTACATCTTCAAGACCTGCAAGAACTCCTCCATATAGAACTCCGCAAGCAAACAGCTCAGGCTCAAAATATCAAAGACCAAGGAGTGTGGTAGCTAATTCACCTTTTGACGTGCCACTGAAGGATGATGACAGCCTCACAAGTTGCCCTCCATTTTCAGTGCCAAACTACATGGCTCCAACCCTTTCTGCCAAAGCCAAAGTGCGTGCTAGTAGTAATCCTAGAGAAAGGTTTGGTGGCACCCCAACAAGTACTGATTCAAAGAGGAGACTCTCATTCCCTTTGGCACAAGGAATTGGATCTTTCAAATGGAGTAAAGGGTTCTCAAGCAAGGATCAAGGAATACCAGATAAATTTCAGTCACTTGAATCTATAGGGAACGTGAGTGTGGATTCAACAGTGTCTTTGCCGGCAAGGGTGGGAAGAAAGCCTTTTACAAGATTTGTGTGATTTTTTTTGTTTTATTCTTTTCTTAACCATTTTATTTTGTCCATGTTGGTGGTGTTATCAGTTACATTATTATGATTATGATTTGAGTGTATTGGTGATAGTTTGACGACAGGTATACCCGTTGTAAACTAATAATAAAAACATAATAGGAAATGATGGTTTGGTAACTTTGGTTGGTTGGAGTTTTCTTTTCTTCGTTCGATGACATTATAACATTCAATTTATTTGTCCTACCAGGAGTTCATCGCATTTTTGTTATGTAAGGTATTTTTTAAGCTAAAGTTTTTAAAATATGTTTTCAATTAAATAAGCAATTACACAAAAAAAGAAAACATATAAATGGACTCTAACTGTAGTTTTTAATTAGGGATAAGGGTAGGTCAAATAATTTGTCAAGAGCTCATAAGGACTTGGTTTAACCTAAGATATTTATGACTTAAATAAAAAATTGTAATGAAATATAATAATTATTATTAAGTCTTATTTTATTGAGTGGTGTTAGTTATATAAATCACATTTGATTAAAAATATTAAATTCTCTTAGTATAATGTAATAAAATAAAAAACATAAAATAAAAGTTAAAAATTAATGAATGTAAATAGATACACTGAAGTCACACACTCATTTTTCTCTCTGTTTTCCATGCATGCTCAATGTCTCCAACAACTCCTTTATATTTAGGATTTACTATTTTTTCCTGGTGCGTGGCAGAATATCAAGAAATCGCTTCAGGTTATTGGTTGAGCTTATTAATTAGTAGTCATTTCAACACCTCTCTCTTTTTTTTCATGCATGCGTCATGTCCAATGTTTGTAGTAATTTTTCCTATCTTTATTCCAATTAAATGCTTTACTATTTTTTGCTAAGTGTCAAGAAATGCACAAGACTGTACTTTCCTGTTTAGTTCATAAAATTAGGTCTAGAATTAATACGTAGAATTAGGTTGATTAATTCTAAATTTTATGTTTGGTGCTCTTTTAAAATTAGAATCATAATTTTATACAATAATTTCATGAAATTTAAAATTAATTAGGTCAAATCTTTTCCAATTCCTAACTTGTATTTAAAAATTGCTAATCGTACATTTCAAAATTTTTATATTTTTTAAGAATATAATTTAACTACTTCTCATTTTTGTCAAAAAATTATAAAGTATATTTTTCTTTCTTTCTTATGTCTTTGTTTTTTTTATTAATCTTGAGTTTGTTTTTTATTTCTATTTAACTTTTTATCTCTCTATCAATCATCATAAGATTTTTTTTTATAAAATTGTATTATTTACATAATAACATTGTATTAACATTGAATAAAATTTTTACTTGAATAAAACTATTATATTTTTACCTTATGCCAATATAAATACAGGAATTGAAATAACAAATCACTACATATATTTTAGGAGTATGTGTTCGAAATATAAAATTTGTGTATGCCTTACCTGAAGGGAAAGCTTTATCATAAGACTAGAGTTTTACTTAATACTATTACGCAATTAGATGCATTTACAATATTGAATGGTGATAATTTTAAACTTTATAATTGTGTTAAATATTAAACATTCAATAGTTAGTAGATGAAGGATATACTAATGACCTTCTATTTTTAGCTCCATATCATTTCACATGCTACTATCTCAATAATGGTCAAGATACGATAATAGTTCAATAACATATAAAGAGTTATTTAATTTTGGTCATTTTTTTACAAGAAAGGTATCAGAGAAAACATTTAACTTGCTAAAATAAGGATGGGTCATATTGAGTACACAATATATATAGTAATGAAAAAAATAGTTATTATATGTATATTATATAAATTTTAATAATTATATATACATATATATATAGTGTGAATATTTTGAAATTATAAATCATTCATCTAAATAATGGAATTAGAATTGAATTTATAATTGTATTCAAATTCTTTATAAAAACAAAACATAAAATTTAAAATCCTTATTTAATTTCAATTTTATTAGAATTAAAATTTAATTTAAAATACTAGACTCTAATTTCAATTCCAACATTCAAATAAATTATAAAAAGAAATGTTCCTTCATATCTTAAATGTTGTCATATCCCTTACTATGAATAGTAAAATACCCATGAACAAGAAAAAGATGCATATTGTTGGAAAAATGAACAATAGAAAGTAAAGTTTCTTCTCATTTTATATGCGATCTTATTTTTTATCACTTCAAAGGGGAAGAACGTTTTGTACATCAACCCAAGTTCACCCATGATTTTGTAGCAGCATACAAGTTACCACACTTACAAAACCTTGAGCCTTTTTGCCGTTCTGCCTCAGCCAACGTGATCGATTCTGTCGTTTTCTCGGGAAACTTAACTGAAAGGGAGTATTCAAGCGACATAACACACATATAGAGACACAAGCACACAAATGTATGAAAGATACTAATAATACTATTAATCTCAGGTAAGAAACAAACTATGCACATTTTCTTTTGAAAAACAAACATAAGCAAAGATGGTATCAAAGAAAAGTGATGAAAAATTCGAATCTCTGCCAACATATGCTTGAAAGAGGCAAGCCAGAGTAAAATGATGGAGCAGAAACCAAAACTGACTAATAATTTGCGTGTTTTGGTTGAATTCATAGATGCTCAGATTTTATTGATGTGCAATCAGACATAGTTCACATGAATGCTTTTTCTCTATTTTATTTTCTTTTATATTTTAACCTATTTTTATCCTTTTATAATTCCTTCCATAAAGAAAAGTAAAATTTGTCGATGACAACTAGGTTTAACGAAACATGGATGCGTGTAAAAAGGCTTAGCTCATGTAATTAACATTATTATATTTCTTCAGAAATCACTTAACCATAAGTTCTTTTTTTTAATTAGGATATCTCTACATGGGTAGCTGTGAGACTAAGTATGTGTTTGGGGTAAGTTATTACAAGCATGATTTAAGATTATCTAGATTTAGTAAATTAATTTAGTTGAATTTGAGTTTTAAGTTAAATATTTTTGTTTATAATAAAACTTCATGTGCGTAGATTAGTTGTGAAAAAATAATTTCAAAATTTAATTATATTTGACAACCATTGACATAATTTTTATTTTTTTTGCAGAACACAGGTGTAAAATTATCTCCTGAAGCAAAAGCTACTTTGAACAAGTTTCTTCCCAACTGATTTTGATCCCTAAAGACTTGTGGAAGCAGAATAAAGAAGAAAAGTCTAAACATTTAAAATGTGTTTGGTCCTGGCAAAAGGTAAAACTATTGTTCCAATAGTGCACGCCACCTTTAGAGTCGCAACCAACTTCTATTTCAACTGAACGCTTTTGTTTCATTTATAAACATACATTATTATACACACCAACCAGCTAATATTTTGTCTTATGTGTATGTAAAATATTTTAAGGATATTAATTCAAAACATTTATAAAAATTGCGATTAAATTGTATTAAAGATTATATAGTGTATGGTATTGCATGTTGGTATTGATGTTTAAGGATAATTATGGGGTTGTAGTATTATTTTTAAGTTTTGGCTCAATGACTTATATAATGAGTCAATGACACAAATTGTTGAAAATATCATAATTTACGATGGGTCATGCTTTTATAAAGCCTGAACTTTTGGCTTAACTTTTCAAATTAAGGATTTTAAGATTCATCTGTCAATCAAATATGGGTAAATTTTAAAAGTACTTAACATTTTAAAAAGTGTAACTTAGATTTAGTTTATTTAAAAGTTTGCTTTTTATAAGAACTTATAAATCACTCGAATATATATATATATATAGGTTAACAAGTTTAAATTTATATATAAATTAACAAATTTAAACAGAATACAAATGTCTTTAGAAAGAGTTTTTTTAAAAATAATTTATTTAACTAACTAAGGAAACTTTGAAAAAAAAGTTTTGAAGCGAAAAAGAAGAGAGTAAATTTTTTAATTTTTAATTAAAAAATTATATATTATTTATAACAATAAATGTATATTTATATATTAAATTTATATTAGTATATTAATTTATATTTTTTATTTAGAAAATTTTAAATATATTTATTTAAAATATAAAATTAATTTTCTCTTTTCCTTCAATAAGGTTCCTAAACAATTCTTAAAAGTTTATTTGAATATATAAGACCTGATTTCAGTAAAGGAGCTTGTTTTAATAGCTTGTAGCATTTCAAATGGCCATTTAACTAAAATTTAGTCCAACATTTTTAGTAAATCAACTAATTTTTTTATTTATAAAATTTAGCATATTCTACTTCATATTTAATTTTTTTCTCTATCCAAAATTCTCAAATTTTAATTTCATATTCAACTTTTTTATAAATATATCAATAAAATTATATTTTAAGCTCACAAATTAAAATATCAAAATATATTTATTTATTTTTTACTCTTTCAGTCTTAATATCATGTCTTATAAAATCTTTTAAATTTTACCAATTTTTTTATTTCTAAATTTTTAATTTTTACATTAGAATTCCATCATAAAATTCTAAATATTTAAATAAAAATAATAACTTGAGGGTTTGAATAGGAAAAAAATAACAAAATTATAAAATTAATTTATTTTAAAATAAAAACTAAAATCATACATAATCTAAACTAGAGAAGTCATAGATTTAATTATGCATTTACTTTTATATTACCTGTATTTACTTAAATGAATTGGTCTTTTTGGCTTTCTTTTTAATGATTCAAAAATGACATTTTTTCTTAACTAATTTTTTTTTAAAGAAAACGTAACCCTAACATGTTCTAAGGTTAAGGTAGACTTATTTACATAAAAAAAATTTATATATTGAATTTTTTAATATGTTCTAATAAATGGTTTGATTTATTTGCATCTTATTAAGAGTGATTATGACTCTATTTTGTTTGAATTTTATAAAATAAAAGTAATATAAATTAAAAATAAATATAATACACATTTTAAAGATTCCTCGTTATTATGAATTATCAGTATAGAATTCTAAATTTAATTAAAAACATAATAGTACAAGCAACTAAGAAACAACACTCAAGACTATCAGTTTGATTCAAGATTTATTTTTCTTTTAATAAAAAATACTACATTATTTTTATTTTATATTTCTTATAAAAATAAAACAAAATAAAATACTTTTTTCACAGTTAGAGATAAAAACCAAAAAATTAATAAATCTCAAATTAAACTGTTAAGTTATTTTTAATATATATATATATATATATATAAGCTTTTTTTTAATCTTTAATTA